ATATATACATATATGGGATGATGGAGATATTCTTGGTCACATTATCAAATTGATATTTTTTCAGTGTTGGGTTCATATTATAGAGTCCTGAACATGCTATAAAAATCATCTTACAATGATCTACACACACATACACACACACACACACACAGAGAGAGAGAGAGAGAGAGAGAGAGAGAGAGAGAGAGAGAGAGAGAGAGAGGGAGAGAGAGAGAGAGAGAACAAGAATTAGAAAAGGTTAAGAGCTAATACTGCTTTCACGATTATAAACATTAACTCATTTATCTTCATCATAATTGTCCAAATTGAGTTTTATTAATCTTTATATACTGCCTATGAAGAAATCAAAGCTCACAGTATGAAATATGCCTGGGCTTATCAACCAGTTTAATAACATTTGTCACAAAGTATCATTATTTCATATTTACAACTTGAAGTAGCATGTTACATAGGAAAGTCTCTGTGCTCCTGGGAAGACACAAGGTGTAGTACACTTACAAATAGTCTTTTGTACTTTATGAAACCCGCAGAAGTTATTAAAAATAGGGTCAAAGTGAAAGATATCCTTGCAGTTGGCCTTTTGCTATTACTTTACCACAAACTACTAATTTTTAATAATGAAAACTTAAAAATGTATATGTGCATTTCTATATCAATTCATTATTTTGAGAAACTTTTATGAAACTATACTGTTTCCTGTCATTGAGTTGAGAGATCATATCCAGTTTGCCTTTAGGAATGAGATTTATGTACTTAATATATTTATATCTGTTAGTAACTGATCTCCCAACCAGAACTTGTCATGATTGGAGCAAGTTATGAACTTTAAATAGATTAAATACATTTTAATCTATATTTGATATCTTAGCTGCAGTTCTATCATGTAAGGAAGCATTGAATCTCAGAATTTCAATGGAATAGCTTCTCCTACAGGAAAAATTCCCTAAATACAAATGCAATTGTGGTGGGAAAAATTAAGGAGCATTGAAATGTTGTCATTTTTATTCTTCCTACTGCAAACCCTTTTCTGAACAGATAAATGTTTATTTTTATCATAATATTCCTTTTATTAACCGCTCCATTCAAGTAAACACAATAATTCAAAAGGAAATTTGCAAATTATTAGCCTCATTAGCTAATTTTTATGAGGCACTATAGATGCTGACTGTGTGCACTGCACAATAGATGAGTGTCTACTGCACACTAAGAACCTTACTAGGGGTAAGTGTATGAAATGGAATATAATGTTCACCACTGGTGATTTGAAGAGACTTTTATCTCTAGATGATCTCAACGTCTAACAGATGATCAGAAAAGGCCTTGCAGTAGTGCCGATGAAAAATAGCCTGTATAAAATCTAGCAGCTGAAGAAGAAAAATTTCCTGCACCTGATGATTGGATGGCCCTAGAAGGCTGTATAGAAATGATCTGAAGAAAGACTAGCAATCACAGATAAGAGAGATAGAACCTATTTTGGGAAGCTGCATTAGCAGCAGAAACCTTAGGAAAGAGCTATAGCAAAGTTATGCTGTTAGTATTATCACAGAAAGAAGACAGAGTTATTATCACAGAAAGAAGATAAGGGATTTAGTTCTTGAGTATCTTTGCATATCATAGTAAGGAATTGAGTAAGTGAGCCATTATTGAGAGGGTTGCTAAAACACTGATTAAACATTGGCCACTTTGAAGGATATGGGTTAGATGCATCCAAATATGACAACACTGCTAAGTGAGAATTTTCTGCCTTCTAGTATCTTCCAAAAGAGAGCGAGTAGCCTGGACAGCAAGGCTGGATTTGATTCAATGAGCTTTGAGGAGTGCTTAATATAAGAAAGGGGAATGCTGTACAAATGGAAAAAAAGATGAAAGAAATCACTAGGTGATTAGGATTTGGAGAAGATAACAGAAAGCCATCTAATGACTTACTATATTGACTTGCACGGATGATAGGAAAAAAGAATTAAATCTGCTTTCGTCAACGTTTCAGGTAAAAAAGAAAAAAGGCTTCTACACTATAGGTGCATAAGATGAAAAAGTTTCACTGGGAACTGACTAGCATCAGGAGTAATTTGTCAGCTCCTACAATATTCTCTTTGCACATATTTGTGCCAAATATGCAGTTTGTTATTCCACAATTGCTGTTATACTTTTCATAGCAGATGCAAATTATTGATATCATAGATTAACTATTCTTGTGATTTAATGAGATGTTCAACCAAAGTGACCGTTGAAATATTTGGTCACAGGTTAGTAATCTGTTTGGGTTATTTTAGACAAGAAGCTCTGGCTGGAGAAGGTTGGTACTCTGTGTGGACTTTAAGCTTTCAAAAGCCACATGTATGTTACTTCCCCACCCAATTAAAAGATGAGAAGGAGTTTCGGTTTTGGCAAATACTTGTAATTACAGATATGTACGTTCCCAAGAGTGTGTGTGGGTGTGTGTGAGTGTGGGTGTATGATGTATGTGCAATTTGGATCCTATTCCACAGGAGCTGTCCACACTTTTTTTTTTTTTTTTTCATACAGAGTGTCTGTCGCATTGGCCTAGAAGTTGCCAAATAAACTAGGTTTTCTGGGCAGTGATCCCCAGTTGTACACCTGTTTCTTTCTGCCTCCCTTGTTTGCCTTTAAAATCACTTGCCATCAGGCCTGGCTTTTTATCATTCTTGTGCACCTGAATTGTTGAGCTTGATAGCAGAGACTTATGCTTGTAAGCCCAACACTGTACTAGAAAACTTGCTTAGGCTGCCTTCATTTACTTTTCTCTGTTCCCCTTCTAATGCTTTTGTTTGCTTTGAATATTTTCAAATGCTATATAAATTCCTTGAATATGCATTTTCATTTGAATCCTGTTATTTTTAATAGCTACTGTAAATTTTATCAAGCGAATGTGGTTTGAATTCATACTAATATATTATGCAATATATTATGTTCCAGTCAATTATAAAAATGTAACAACTATCCACCATGTGCTATTGCATATTTCACATTGATTTACATTTGTTTTATATATTACATCTATACAACTCACAAGTACAGCTAAGCTTTATCGTAATAATTAGGTCTTATCATTGACCTGTATTAAAGTTGAGGTCCATATTTGGGGGCTAACAATTGAACTGCCTTTTCTTATGGATTATTATCTATTAGACACATCCTCTGATCTGCCATCCTAGAAAGTGGCTAGTGAGACTTCTTGTTCTCCTGTTTGATTCTGAAGAGGTAAGAATTGTTGCCATTTTCAGCCTGCGGAAAATGCCACACATAGGTGAATAAAGAAAGATGCTCAGACAGCTCTGTACCAAACTGCAAGGATTTAGCTGCTGAACTTATAGTAGAAAAGAAATGCTTTTATTCCATAAAAGAAATGCTGTTATTATGACCTCCTCACTGTGGTATTATAAACCTCCATGTTATTGCATAGAGAGAATTCATGTATCCTGAGCCACACCTGACTGTGGTTGACTTTTGTGTCACTGTAGATGCTAAATACCATAGAATAGATTTGAAGTCTGAGATTATAAGCTGGGAGTAGCCTCAAAGCTCAAAGTGTGAAATAACAATAGTAATAATAATAATAATAATAATAAGGCTGTCATAGTGAAACTCATAATTTAACAGCAGCCAAGAGCTCTGTAATTAGAATTAATCCATGTAACATGAGGGAATTCATACGTGGTACTACAAATCTAAACAACTACTCATAGCTAGTAAAGTCAGAACTTTCCATCACCACCATACTAAGTCAGCATGATCCCAAAATATACTCTAAACATCATACACACGGCTAAGTATAGGCACATTTTGTGTCATTGAAAATCCTCTGTGCCTCAGGCTTCTCTTCATTTCCATTCCTGCAGTTCTTTCAGACAGGAACAAATATGGGTCACAGTTTTGACTGTGGGATGGCAAAACCCAACCTCACTTGATGCCCTGTCTTCCTGCTAGAGGTAGACTCTATCAGTTCCTCTCTCTACTGTCCAGCATTTCATCCAAGGTCCTTCAAAGTCCTGAGAGTCTCTCATTTACCAGGTCTGTAGTGCATTCTGGAGAGTCCCCCACCTCCTACTTCCCAAGGTTGCCTGTTTCCATTTCTGCTTGCCCTCAGGACTTCAGTTATTTTCTATCACCCAATACCATACCAGATTCCCCTCTCCCCCCACCACATTTTTCCTTCCATGTCTCTCCCTCCCCACTTGTGATTGTTTTATTCTCCCTCCCAAGTGGGTAAGGAGTCCTTATTTGGGCCCTTCAGCTTGTTGACATTTTTTAGTTCTTTAGAC